TACAGAGTGAGAGCAGACTTGACCATGTTTGCACTTTTCAGGTAATGGGAGCCAGGACACACACGTGTGGACACCAGTGTGTTCAGTTGTGTATCCAGACCAGCACGAACAGACTCCACGCATGTATGCTCATATGCATGTGTCTAGGAGTGCACATTCGGGCATCGCAGCAACCCATAGAGTAGTATGAGTAGGGGGTGGGGAAGGTCCTCGGAACTTAGGTGGAATGGGGGAAAGTGTACTGCAGTTAGGGAAACAGCAGTGAGGCTCATTACCTTGTCAGGTTACTCAAGAACTGAGCGTCAGATCTCTCCAGGAGTAGCTGGACTCGGGAGGGAGTGTCTTAGAATGCCTTAGGCTTCGCTAGCCAGTGGGTGAGGGGTTTCAACTTTCTCAACTGGAGCTGAAGTTCGTCCTGCACTTCCTTTTGCAGCACTTGGCTTCCCAGCTGGCCTCAGGAATCTGGGTATTCACTCCCCAAGCCTGCTCCAGGAAGCCTTCCCCTGCCAACTGTAGTCTCTTCAAGATTTCTGAACTACAGGTGCCTGAGGTGGGGGTGTCCCAGGATGGCTTTTTTATTTTTTATTTTTTATTTTGCATCCTGCATACATTTCTGGCCTGGACTGAGAGCCTGGGCGGCGGCTGGGGGCGGCGCGAGGGCAGTAGGCGGCCCCATAGGCCCCTGGCGGCAGAGAATGGTGGCCAGCGGCCAGCCCCGCCCTGTCCCCACCTGTGTGTGCTCAGCGGCCTGTCTCGAGGGATAAAAGGTCGCAGTCTGCCTGGGGTCAGCTAGTTCCCTCTGCTCCTTGCTCGCTCTGTCTAGCCAGCTACGTCCAGCCGCTATGTCCATCCACTTCAGTTCTAGAACCACTGCCTTCCCCGGCCGTGGTGCCCAAATGCGCCTGAGTTCGGGTCGTGCTGGTGGCTTCAGCAGCAGCAGCCTCTATGGCCTGGGCACCTCTAGGCCACGCGTGGCCGTGCGCTCCGCTTATGGGAGCCCGGTGGGCGCTGGCATCCGTGAGATCACCATCAATCAGAGCTTGCTGGCACCGCTGAGGGTGGATATCGACCCTACCATCCAGCAGGTGCGCCAGGAGGAACGTGAGCAGATCAAGACCCTCAATAACAAATTCGCCTCCTTCATCGACAAGGTGAGGTCATGTGACCCAGCCCCAGCCATGGCCTAGCGGTTCTTAAGGGACACACCTGCATCTGTCCTGCCGGGAAGGAAGTGAGGTCACCCCTGCCTTTGGAGATAGGGGGAGATGGCCTGGTGAGGGATAGGGACTGGGTTGAGGGACCTTTGATAACAACCCTTTTGAAGGTATGCTCCCTAGCTGTCCATTCCTGCCATTCATGGGCTCCTAGGGGTGAGAAGCAGACTCAGAAGGGAGCCAAGGGGAGCTGAGGCCTGTAGTCCTGCCTGGCCCTCTGGCTAGGGCCCACTCCCCTGCCTCAGTGTCTCCCTTTCAATCCTCCTGCCTATACTATTTTGCCCAGAAAGTCCTCACCAGAAGCTCTTCCCCCGCCGCCCACTGCCCTAGACCCAGGTTCTTGCCTTAATGGTGGGCGGGACCATCATAACCCAGTTCCTGGTTCTCCAGGCCGCTGGTTTCGAAGCAGCTCCTCTTGCCTCCCAGCATCAGGCTGACTGTTCCTTTTGGTCCTGGGATGGTACCCTGAGGCCTGGCTGGAGGAAAGAGGAAGGAGAGAAGATACTGAGGAAGAAAGAGAAGTTCCAGCCTAGAAGGAAGGGGCAGTCCAGTTAATGGCCTAACACCCTCTCACCTCTAGTTTCAGAGAAGAAAGGGGCTATCTAAAGGGCAGAGGTAGAGAATACCATTGAAGCAAAATTGGCTATAAATCCTGATACACCACTGAACCAAGCCCACCTACTCCACCTCTCCCACTTGAAATAGGGTCCTAGAGGGAAGGAGTGAGCATTGGGGACCAATTGGTGGGTATGTGGGCTCTTCTGGGTGGCTTCGGACTGTTTAACACCTGTGGTGGTGTGGTCTGGCTGCTCAGGCGCCTCCTTCTCCACACCCCTCCAGGTGCGCTTCCTGGAGCAGCAGAACAAGATGCTGGAGACCAAGTGGGCACTGCTGCAGGAGCAGAAGTCCACCAAGGGCAACCGGCTTCCCCGGATCTTTGAGGCCCAGATTGCAGGGCTGCGACAGCAGCTTGAGGCACTGCAGCTGGACGGGGGCCGCCTGGAGGTGGAACTGCGAAGCGTGCAGGACGTGGTGGAAGATTTCAAGAATAAGTAATGTCCCTGGTGTCACTTGGAGGATCCCAGCCTTGGGGCAGTGTGCCTCTTACTCATGGGCACTCTCCAAGTGTCACTGGTTCAGGGGTCAGAGTGCATAGCTGCCCAGGATTAGAACTGCCTGAGCTGCCTTTGCTGATACAGTCCCTGCTTTGCCTTTCCCTTTTCTCCCCAGGGGATGTTGCTGGGGCATTCTGGTCATTTTTTTTTTCTGGCTTAGTCAAGAGAAATAGCACAGTCTACCCTGACAGTCCTGGTTCCTTTTGGGTGCCTGGCTAAACCCCAAGGCCTTAGGTGCCAGAGGCAGAAGGTATCCCATGATGAATGTTTTAGAACTTGAAGCTCTCATAGATTATTCTAGAACAACTTTTTTTTTTTCCTGTGCAGATGAAGAATTGGAAACCAGACAGTCTATGGGGCTTAGTCGAGATTGCTGCATAGTGGGTCATAGGAAACTTGGTCTTGAATTTGTGTCCCTAACTCCCAGATGTGGGAAGTAAAGAAAAGGATGGGGATGGCAGGGTGGGTCTCAGGGCAGAGCCAGGGAAGAGGCTGCCAGAGGCAGGAAGTCTGGGGCTTTGTGGACATGCCTTTGAATGCTCCTGTGGGTCTTCTTTTTTCACTGATCAGAAAGCAAAGCCTAAGGCTTGAGCCGGGCCCCACCCTGACTCCCTGCCACTAGGCACTGGGGGCAGCTGATGTGCTCTGTGGTTGTGTGACTAAGCAGAGCCAGGCATACCAGCTCTGACTGAAGAACAAACAGGACCTCTGGGGAGTGTCTCCCACCAGCTGCTTCCCTTGGGCAAAAGTCAACAGATTCATCTCATAGTGGGTAGAACCAGGTAGGCACAGGGCAAGGGGATTCTGGGTAGCCAACCAGCAGCCTATGTTGTCAGGCATTCAGCCTGCACCCATTTCCCCCCGGAGCAACTGGTTTCTGTGGAGCCAGGCTGAGCTCTAGGCAAAGGGTGAATGAGAAGCTGGCAGCAGGCACAAGGAAGGGCATGGGTGCTCTGAGAGCTCCAGCCAGTGCATTTGGAACCCAGCAGCCCAGCAGCCCAGCACCAAGACAGGACATCAGATAACCTTGTAGATTTGTAGCTTCTATGGTACTGAAGTGGCACTTTGCATACATGAATATCCTGAGCCTGGCTGGCACTCTGCTTCCCACCAAGGCTTCCAACACTCTTGGCAATTCCTGTGTGCTGTGGAGCCCTTGTTTCTTCACTGCCACCTTCCAGTTTATTTTCCCTCTGATTCCCCACATATACACTGGAACAAGCTAGTGCACTCTCCTCATCACAGAGGTCCTCCCAAAGCCAGATGCCAGCTCCTTGAGAAGAAGAGAGATTTGGGAGAAAGAAAGTTGTAGCTACCACCCAGCCTGGGCACTTCAAATGTGCTCTGTCCTGATTCTACAGGCTTTCCCCATTTGAACTTCCTCTTTGTACCTCAGGGGTCAGCCTAGCTAAAGGTCAAGGTGTGTGCAGTGGAGTCAGCTGCCAGGGGTTAAGCCAGGGCTTTGCCCCTTTGCAGTACAGTGACTGGGACAGGTGACCTGCCTCTGTATTTTCAGCTTTGACTATATTGTAGGGCTGTTGGGATGGGGAAGTGAGTTATCTCACAGGAAGTGTATGACAATGCAGGCCCCATAAAGCAGCCCCTAAGCATGGCTAGGCTTGCTTCTCCCACCAGTAGGTGCAGCTTCTGGCTTCCAATTTACATACATTTCCCTAGCCCCTTCCCGCCATGCTGGACTATCTGCATGGAAGTGAGTAAAGATGGGTTTTGTAGCTGTGCCACCTGCTCTCTCAGGTGCGTCACTGAGTGTTAGGTGTGACTGCTCCTAGGCAAAGCTGGGCCATGACCAAGTGCCCCCCCCCCCATTTCAGGTATGAAGAGGAAATCAACAGGCGCACAGCTGCGGAGAATGAGTTTGTGTTGCTGAAGAAGGTGAGGTGTGGTGGCTCTGGGGTGCTGTCTCACACACCGGGTGAGACCAGGCAGGGGCCTTATACCCCAGGGCTAGGCCCATGGTCAAGGCCTGCCTTGGACTAAACAGAAGGGGATGATGAGCTTGGAGAAGTCTCAAAGCCACACTGGAGTAGTTCAGCCTGTGTCCACATGCTCTGTGTTCATGTGTGCTTGTATGTGCCTTTTCCTTTCTCTGTGCCTCTCTGTGTATGTGCTTCTCTCTCCCTCTCACACTCTCTCTCTCTCTCTCTCTCTCTCTCTCTCTTGTTCTGTCTGTCTGTCTGTCTGTCTGTGTGTGGTTGCCTCTCCCCGTGTGCTTCTGGTTCTGTCTGTCTGTCTGTCTGTGTGTGGTTGCCTCTCCCCGTGTGCTTCTGCGTCTGTGCCCCCCCTCAGTGTGTGTGTGTGTGTGTGTGTGTGTGTTTGTGTGTGCACGTATGCACCCGTGAACATCACATCTCTGGTGAGTGATTAGGGTTGTTCCCAAACCTGTAGGATTAGAACTAAGACCAGAAGATAGAAGTTTGAGAGGGATGTCTTAGCCTCATATAAGGAAGTGTCTTCTAGGGGTCAGAACTTTTTATCCCAGACCCCAGGGCTCCTGGGTGACCTCAGATGTTTACAGAATGAACAATAAACTGTCTTAAGTCAGGATGAGCTCTCTGTTCCTGGAGATGTGCAAGTGGCCTTTGGGAAGCTGTAGAAGTGTCTTAGAGGGATTTGTGCTATCTGCCTTTTAGAATTCCGAGTCCAGACCCTTTCACCAAGCAGCTCTGCATTCCAGGCCCTGCTGCAGGCATATACCCTGGCCACACATCAGGCCCTTGAAGACTCACAAGGTCAACTCAGAAAGTGTAGGTAGGAGAGTGAGATAGTCAGTCTTCCTTGGCAGCTTGACTGGACTTAGAATCACTCGGAAGTTGATGTGGTAGTACACACCTTTAATTCTAGCGCTTGGCAGCCTGAGGCAAAGGATTGCAAGTTGGAGGCCAGCATGGACTACATAGTGCATTCCAGGACAGCCAGGGCTACATAGCAAGAACCTGATTTTTAACTATTATTACTGTTAATCACTTGTAACATTTCTGGGTGTGTCTGAGAGGGCGTCTCCAGAGAGAGGTAACTAAGGGAGGAAGCTAGGGCCCTGGACAGAAAAAAAGGGATGGAGAGAGATAGAGATAGAGATAGAGATAGATAGATAGATAGATAGATAGATAGATAGATAGATAGATAGATAGATAGAGCACCAGAGCCAAAAGAGCATCAGAATCCCTCCTCCATCTGCTTCTGGTCAGCCATGATATGAGCTGCCATGTCTTCCAGGCTTTCTCTGATGTGGTGCACTGAGGCTTCTGAAACCCAGAACCTGGACAAATCTTTCCTCACTCACATTGTTTCTGTCGACATTGTGGTCACAGTGATGTAAAAGCACTAACAGAAACCTGGCTCCCACCTGGCTGTGACCTGGGCTCACTGGCCTTGGAGTTACCCAATGCTTCCAGCGAAGCAAGCCAGCTGGATTTGCTCATCCTTAGGAGGGTGAAGGGGGATCTGAATGGTTGATGCTCTGCTCTTACATGGACTGAGAAGTTGAGGCGTTCAGTATGGAAATGACTTGTTCTGGGTCACACAGCTAGTGTGCCTGAACCAGGATTGTGTCCACACTATGAAGCATTTGGGACCTGGTCACGTGTTTGGTTTGGGGCTCAGGGTCTCTGGGCTGAAGGTGTTGGGGAGGCAATGCTGGTTATGGGGTTGCATGGAAATGTCACCCATTCAGCTTGCAACCTAAAGGGTCATGGAATAAGTTTCTGGGGAGGCAGGGCTGTTTTGTCCTGAAAAACTGGGCAAGATTGACTGACTGACTGTTCTCTGTCTTGAGGACATGATGTCACTCTATCCCGTCTTTCAACCCCAGGATGTGGATGCCGCCTACATGAACAAGGTGGAGTTGGAGGCCAAGGTAGATAGTCTGAATGATGAGATCAGCTTTCTCAAGACCCTTAATGAGACGGTGAGTTCCAGGGTGGGTGGCGAGTCACTTTCTAGCCTTAGGAAGGAGATCCACTGACTATCATGTGGCAGGAGTTGGGCCATGACTAGGTACCCTGAGGGCACCTCACAGGAGGAACTGTCATGTGCACCACATTGTCTCTTTATTTCTTTTAATCCTACTAGAGTCTGCTATTTGAGATGCTAGCAGCTGGGCAGAACTATTCAGTGTGTGTTGCATCTGTGCCCCTACTGCCTGGCCATTCTGCCCACTCCAGGGTCTTCTTTTTCTTTTTCTTGGGTGGGTTCCATTGTGGTATGGGAACAGGGATGGATCATGTCCTAGACATGCATTCAGTGTCCTGTCTGGTCCCTGCAGGAGTTAGCAGAGCTGCAGTCCCAGATCTCAGACACATCCGTGGTACTGTCCATGGACAACAGCCGCTCCCTGGATTTGGATGGTATCATTGCCGATGTCAAGGCCCAGTATGAGGAGATGGCTAACCATAGCCGGGCTGAGGCTGAAGCCTGGTACCAGACCAAGGTGTGTGGCTATTTGGGGACATCTTTCTTCCTTCTGCTAGGCTCTGGGTGGAAGCTTCCTTTTTCTTCATCTTGTCTCCAGCCTTTGGGACCTGGCAGGTACCAGTGATTAAGGCCATGGTATGCTCTGGAGTTCAGGGTGAAGAAGGTTCCCAGGCTAGTTCCCTGCCTTAGGCTTGAGGCCAGGCTGACGGGGCAGAGGAAGAGGAAGGAGACACATAATGATAATAGTTCAGTGTCATAGAGCTGATCTGGCGGGGCACACCTCTTCAGGGCTAGGTCTTAAGTGTTCTGTCACTTTCACATGTTTAATCCACAGAATAGCCCTTTGATGTGTGCACCACTGCGGCTGCTATTCTAAACACAAGGCACAGAGAGGTTAAGTGAGTTTTCCAGCTCTCACAGCTCACAGTAGGTGAAAGAGCAGGGACTAGGTCCTGAAGTCCATTGTTCCAGGAACGGGAGGCTCAATTGTTACTGTAGAGTCAAAACAGCTGAGAGCAATGTGCTAAAGAAATGGGAAGGACATGGGCTAGAGCAGTGTCACTGAAGGAAGCCAGAAGCCAGAAGCCAGGTCTAAAGGGTGCTTAGGGTATGGAGCTCAGCAGTGCGCATGAGTAGAAATACAGCCTTGGACCCATGCTAGGAGGGGATGGAGATACCCTGTAGTTTGACCTTTTGGGGCAGGAGTGGGGGGTTGGGCGGTAGTGGTGGCTGGGAGGTGTCTGCCTTTCCTGGGAATGTAGGCTGGGAGTGAGTTTCTGTGGATGGGGAGAAGGCTCCGGTTGCTGGCAGTAATGGTCCATCCTGCCATAATTGTGCTCATGGCCTTTCAGTTTGAGACCCTCCAAGCACAGGCTGGGAAGCATGGAGATGACCTGCGCAATACCCGGAATGAGATTTCGGAGATGAACCGCAACATCCAGAGGCTGCAGGCCGAGATTGACAACATGAAGAACCAGGTGAGGACCAGCCCTCCTGCTGCCTCATCCCTGCTTCTTGGGAGTGAGAGGCAGCTAGCCAGGTCAAGGTCGGGTGAGTCTGGGAGGCCTGGGCCCAGGTGGGTGCAGCTCACATCTCAGGCCCCTGGTGAGACCTATAGGGTGGAATCATTTTGTCCAGACCTGGTTTGGGGTTGAAAGTCAGAGTCATGGCTGGGCATGGAGCCTGTGGAAGTGAACTCAGGTCGCCTACCCAAGGGGAACCACTTTGACCCTGAGCCCTGTGCTTGCCCCTAGCTCTGGGCTCTCAGCACATTGATCAGAAATCCTTACATGTCCCACCCGTCTTCACTCTGGACAACACCCCTTCTTCCTTTTGCTCAGGCCATGCTAGCCTGCTTCCTGAATCTTGCCTTCACTATTCATGCGCCAAGGCCTCTCAGTCCCCCTGGACTGTGATTCTCCCAGCTCTGTCTATGGCCTTTGCTTTATCATCTACGGGATTTAGGACCAGAGTCCCCTTGTAGGGTTGCCTTCTTCAAACACCCAGTCACCACACCGGCAGCCCATCTGAAGTTTGTTGAAGCACCTTCTACTGTCTGGAGTGTTTGAGGTTATTAAGTTATTGAGTATCTTCACCCCACTGGAATTGCATGCTCCTTGAGAGTGGAAGCCATCTGTCTGGCCCACTGGTCCCATTTTCTAGAACCTGTCACACCATGGGACAGAAGTCTCAAAGGAGAGCCTGAGAGCACATGCATTTTGTTGGAAGTTGGAATTGTGGGTGTGGATGAGGGAAGGGTCCCCTAAGTCCTGGCTGAGATGCCAATGTGGTCAGGACAATTCAGCCTGAGCAGACGTGTGCAGTGGGAGTGGGCAGAGGATGTGTGCAGCCTTAGCAAACATTTCACTGAATTGGGGTAGGGATGGTGGAGTGATTTACCCAGGAGTAAACAGCTTTCCCGGAGCCCTGCAGGCGGGTTTATACACAGGGCAGCTGTTGCCTTCTGGCTTGGATTCAGAGCTGTGAGTAACCCAGTGAAGCACTCTGGACTCTTGGCCAGAACAGGAGGCTCAGATTAATGAATGGTCCTTTCTCAAACTGCATAGCCTTCACCACATCCACGAGCTTTCAGGTGCTATTACCCAGATGGTAGCCACCCCTGAGGGCCTCAAGGGGCTGGGAGGGGTCTCCAGAGGAAGGAAACTGGCCCTGCCTGGCCCAGGGGACATAATGTAAGAGGACTCCACTGAGTGGAGTAGAGACGTCAGCTGAGGGAAGAAGACCCTAGGATGGAGAGAGGTCCTTTTGAAGGGCAGAGAACCCCTGGGCTGGAGTGTGGGGGATGGGAGAGCGAGACAGCTCTTGTTAGTGGCTGTGTTAGCCAGTTATCTACCCATGTGTTAAAATGCCGTAGGGAACCAACTTAGTGGAGAAGGAGTTAATTTGGCTCATGGTTTTAGTCTCTGATCATTGAACTTAATCACTCCGAGTTGGTGGCTATGCAGAGAGCATCATGGTGTGGGGGTGTGGGTGGATGGTAGTACAAAATTCCTCATTCTTACCTCAGCCAAAATGCAGAGAAGGACCCAGGTTCCTCATTCCCCTTCATGGACATATCCCCAGTGACCTCAGTTCCTTCCACTAGTCCTGTCCCCTAATGGTACTGCCTTCTCCCAATAAACACCATCAACTGGGGCCAAAGCTTCACCACAGCCTTTGAGGCATGTTCAAGACCCGAACTGTGATAGTGGGGAAGCATCCAAAGCAGGGAAGCCCTAATGCCAATAGTAAGTGGTAGCTGCTCATGGCAGACACCAGCCTGTGGGAACTGCGTCACCCCTGCTCCAACCACCTGATATAGTATTGGATCCAAGCCTTCTTTCTATTTGAACTAGTCACACCTGGTGCCCGTTTCTTATTTTTAAAAAATACCTTTTAATTAAAATGTAATCACATCACTTCTTCCCTTTCTTTTCCTCAAATCTCTCCCATGTCCTCTACTTACTCCCACTCAAATTGCTGGTTCCTATTTTAAAGGCATCTGGTTCTTGTCATCTACTGATATTTGTGACCCAACTGGGATCCCATGTCCTTGGTGCTCCGGCTAGGGGTGGGTAGGTGCTAGGCTTTACAAGTTATAGTAACATGGATTGAGCACCTCGTATGTGCTAGGAATCATGTCAAGACTTTGTGTGTCTTTTAAAAAAGACTTTAAAATTTTTATTTTAAATTTGTAATTTTTAATTACAAATTTTGACTTACATTTATTTGTTTTACTTTATGTGTATCAGTGTTTGTCTTGCATGTATTTTTGTGTATCATATGCATCCTGGGACTGGCTTTATGGACAGTTGTGAGCTGCCATGTGGGTGCTGGGAATTGAATCTGGGTCCTCTGCAAGAACAACAAATGCTTTTAACCCCCAAGCCATCTTTCCACTTTGACTTTGTGTGTCTCATCTCTCCTTACTCTCAAGTATCCCTATGGAATAGATGGTATAATCATTACTCTTTTAGAAAGAGAAGACTTTGGCTAATCCCTGCAAGGCTACTCTGCTAGAAAGTGGCAGATCCTAGGCATTGGACCCTCATATCCTTGTGTCTAAGCTTTAGAATTCCCTGGTGTTTGGGAGAGTAGGAAGGGCCGTTGAAGCCATCATAAGCAAGATGGATGGGTGCAGCCTGGGTCAGTAGGAAGGTAGTGGTCAGCTGTCCCCTCTGC